AAGGGAGCGCGCTCACGTCGGCCTCCTGCACGTCCTCTGCAGATAATGCGGCATCTACCATAATTCCTTTCAAAGCTTATTATTAATGAGAACAAAGTATTCCACAGGAAATACAGTGCCTATAAAAGTACTAATCCCCTTGGAGGTTTTACCCTTTTATTACTTTTGCAAATCAATCTGGATCAAAAGAAATTGCAAAAAAAAAAACAACAACAACAAAAAACTCTTTAATGTAAAAGAAAAAACTGATTCCTACAAAAATAATGACAACTAATATATGTCTCAATCAGATATTTTCCTAAACTCGTGCTTAGGAAGTCACAATCATTTCAAGGATTTAGTAGCAGTCGATTTAATAAAGGAGTGTGTTTTAGTGTGTCTAATATTTATGACACAAAGTGCCTCCCTGAATGAAGTGATAGTCGTATGTAAGAGTCCATGACCGGTGTGTTTATTCAGCTGAATCTGTGAGCGCTCTCTGCATTAATCTCCTGACAGATGCATTGATGCGCCGCAGCCTTTCACCTGTGCACATGGTCCAAGAGATGTATTTAAGGTCTGACACATGCTGGGAAAAAGCAGTGAACATAACGTGACTCAGCTGCGTAATTCTCTTTGTTGTTTTGAAATAACCACTACAAAGCCAGGACTCTTTTTGATGTGGCGTTCTTATTATTTTGCTTCTCTGTAACTTACAGAAACGTCTGCAGAGTAATTTCTCTTAAGCGGGGTTTTTAAGGACCTCAAGGGAGGTAAAAAAAAAACAAAACAACTTTTTCTAAAGGGAAAGATGCAGTGTTGTGTGTTAAACTGTCCTCCTGCTGATTGTATCCAGGCTTCACACCTGGATATAATTGGAAGAGTAAAAACTTATAGAAAACTGATGAGAAAGCTTATGAATTAAAGCACAGATATCAAGTATTTCTTTGGATTAATCTAGAATAAGAAACAGTAACTACTTTAATAATTCACAATATGTACAGATGTTCATTTTTATGACGCGTCATTTGGTAATAATGACACTTTTAATGCGAAGTTGCTCTATATGTTGCATTGAAAATGCATTAAAAGTGTCAACTTTGCATTAAAGTTTCGTTATTTACTGAATGACACTTTGTCAAAATAGTCAGAAACGTTCATGTTCATGACAGGTGTTACGTCAGTCTTATGCACAGCCTGTCAAATAAAGTGTTAACAATTTTGCAGTAAAATCTGACAAAATATGGGGATTTGCTGATTTGTGAAAAACTGGAGGGACTTATTGGTCTGGAGTCGAGAGGGCCACATAAAAAGCTCCGGCGGGCCAGATTTGGCCCCCGGGCCTTGAGTTGGAAACGTGTGTTTTAGATGCAGACAAAGCAGCTTCTTTTTCCCACTGGAGGAATCTGCAGGATGTGATGCTTTTATGACCTCAACGTTTTATGTTCAACAAAGTTTTTGTCAGAAATCCTGCCAAACTATGTATTGCACTATTTGTTAAAGTTCTCTCATGTGAATTATCTTATTTTGGTTCATTTCAAAGTTCGGGAACCTTTGAAGTAATTTATGATTACTCCAAACCCTGAAAATGATTTTGGCTTTTTGTTCAATGGAATATCTGACAGCTTGAGATGTTGTGTCATAAACAAAATATTGTATTTTTGATATTTTTGGCCGAAAGAATTTGGTTGGAAGTAAATCAGAGCTATCCAAACTTTCTGGAGCAACAACTCAGAAGTTTAAAGTGGCCGTGGGTAACAAAATTTGTATCTCTTTTGTTATTGAAAATAGAAAAACAATTCTTTCGTAAAAACAATTCTTTCGTAAAAACAAATTAAATATGCAATATCGTAATGAAATGTACTAGCCTGATAAATCATTTTAGATGTATTCTAGGATAGAAATAACATATTAGACTCTTTTTTAACATGTTTTTCGGTTTATTTTAACACATTTTACCTTCAAGTGAAAGTTACTTGATGTTTTCAGTGTCAAATTTAAATGAAAGGAAAAAATGTGGCTGTTAAAAAGAAATAGTTTCTAACTTTTGCTTGTGTTTTCTTTTTAAATATTGTTTTTATTCTTTCTTTTTCTTTTGTTCAGAGAAAATAAAATTGTAGTTTGTTTTAAGCGTTTCACCATCAGCAGTCTGGTGAAATAAATTTGCAATACTTTTGACTCATGGACAAGGGCCGCACCGAATCATTCGAAGGGCCGCAAAAGGCCCCCGGGCTGCACTTTGGACCCCCCTGGAGACAAAGCCTGTAGAGGATTTTGATATAAAATGTAGGGTGGTTGCCCAGGACGACATTTGAAAGGGGTGGAACAAACCAATCAATGATTGAACTTACTTTTTGTTGTATAAGTTGTTTCCTGAACAAGTTTTCTGGTGCTTTTATTCATGTGCAGGCAACGGAAAGTTGGCACTCCATGGATTTCCAATGCACTGCTGATTACTGCGAGATAAAGGCGTGTTTGTTGACCCACAGGAAGTAAGGCACAACTTACTCTGTGAATCCCTCTTTTTCTTTGGCTGGCGTGACTGAGCAATGCTTCTAGTTATGCTCAACTAGCAAATTTGAAGGAATTGTGTATCCACAAACTGGGAACATTTCTGTGCATGTTTGTGTTATGCAAGCAACCATGAAAGGAAGATAATAGTTGTGGGAGTAATGGCAGAAGGAAGGTGTTACCCGTCCATGCAGGAGCCACCACTGTAAATGAGACCGTACGTCATCAGAAGTCCACCTACGTGTAACTCTGTCCGTGTGAGATGGCGCCTCACTACTACTGAAGACTCTGCTTTGTGTTTTGACTGCTGTTGTTGGAATGACGTTTGAAGACACACGGCGGTTAAACTTGTGGTTTCGACCGTTACGTTTATTCTTCCTGGTTAACCGTTACGTTTATTCTTCCTGGTTAACAGCAACTTCACCTTCGGACCACAAACCAGCTCTGCGTGTTAACATAACTCCCATTCATTTTTCCAAATACAGTACAGATTAAACAAAAGAAAAACTATACAAAACTGAATACTCAGTCATTGGCTATAGAGAGGTCAGTGTTGCTAACCTTATGAACCCAACACTCTGACCTTTACACCGCCAGCTCACCGTAGCAGAAGCCAAAGTACGGCGTTCATTAAAGGACATACGACACCAACTGCCAGAACCCAAAGGAGAATCTTGGTGGCTTCTGCTGACACAGTTAAGACACAACCCTACATTTGACTGGAGTGCAGGTAAGAGATGCCGAGAGAAAGTCTTTGTTTTGTTTGCTGTCCACACCTTGGACACCAACCCAGCTCTGAAAGTGAGAAACCAGCAAATCAGAGTATGAACTGTTGTCCTGCTTTGGCAGTTCTGCTGCTGGAAACAGACGGATGAATGAGCTCTAAGACTTTTCCCCTCACCTTCCTCTGTTTTCAGTTCACCCTTACAGTATTGGCAATCAGCACCGCCTCTTTATTTAAACTGGGAGACCAGCACCCTTTTGATGAACGGTTCAACTTTTGATCAGTTTATTTTATATATTTTATTTTCAGTTTTACCCGTTCAGTTTTTGTGTTCATTTGTTTGTGCATGTTTGTAACTTATTCTAATTCAAGGACAATTAGTTTGGTGTCCTAAGAAAGTCTTGATCTTTAGAAGAATACATAAATGACTGAGCCCTCTCAAGGAATGAAAAACAAATCCTCCTTCAGATTTTTGACAGATCAGGAGACCAATATATTTATGAACATTAAGATAATTTAATGCAACTTAGCGGCCAACAAGGGGTTGGCCACTAGTGTATGAAGGGATGCATGTAATTTTTTCCACAAATATTAAAAAAACGAGCTCATCATATTTTCACATTTGGTGAAAACACAGAAGAGCTTCTGCCAATTAAATGTGCCAATAACCAGAATCTGTTCATTTAAAATTATTTCTTAAGATTTTTTTTCTTTCTTTTGGAAGCTGAAACAGCTGTTTTTGTTTTTTGTTTGGAAAGTTTCAATCAAAAGGGCTAAAAATGAAGATGTCAGCATTTTTGGTCATTTTCAACCACAGTTTCTGAGGGCCAAAAATATCCACAAAAATATCATCTTTTCACCGATTCGATTAATGTGGTTATTGTTGTGTTGTTAATACCTGAGTGTAATTCATAACATAATTAAGTCCAAAAGGTTTGCTTCAAATCAAATTAAATTAAACCTCAGACTTACCTCGTTTAATTGCTGTGGGGATCTGATTACCGTTTGGCCAAGCAGGATTTGTGCTCACCACCAGGCTGCCATACTTCATATAACACCTCAGAGTGGGTTTGGACTCAGGCTGCAAGGTAATTTTAGCTATGTTGTCTAAGTGGGATGAAAGCAGGCCAGGCCGTCTGAACTCTCATTTTACGTCAGACTTGCATTTTAAGTGAGGCTGGTACGTGCTTGGAACGGCTCTGGACTATAAACAAGAGATCCAGCAATCTGCAGTTTCATTTCGACAGCACACCAGAGTGTCTGAAGCAATTATATTTATTTCCTGCCTTGGTGGAAATTTAAAATAGGAACACACCTTTGTGGTTATTAAGTAAGAGAGTGATATTGTTTACTATGGAAAAGATTTCTGCGCCGTCAGATTGTTGCTCAGAGTTATCTTTTTGACAGATGAATGGGAAATATTACAGGGGGTAATTTTATCCATTATCCTGATGCAACATGGAAACATTCATCATTCTCTTATCATTCAGAAGATGTTTCTCACAGCGTTTCGAGCGGCCAGAACATCAATGCTGGCTGTTTTTCATGTGGTCGCTCCGCTGCCAGGCCCAGGCCTCTGCTATTGTGCGTGTTTGGCTCATGGCTCACTGGGCCACCGAAATGGGACAGAGCCATCATTAACGTTATTGGTTACACCTGACAGGTCAAACTTACTGCTGTGGGAAACATCTATATTAGACGATGTCTTTCAATAATTAAATGAAAAAGCTAGGAAGAGATCTGCTCATCCTTATTTAAGAGACAACATACTGAAAAAACTAATAGATGCTTCAAATTAAAGTCATTTTATTAATAGGTCACTACAGAGTTGAGTAGTGACTAATTACAATTAAATATACTTAGGTATCAGTTTTTCATTTGGAAACATTTTATCTTGCCTTTGTTATAATTATTGTCATTTTAAAATACCAAAGTTTCCACCAACTTTATGTTTCCATCCATCTGAGGATGCAATTTTCAAAGATTAAATGACCGATAACTTGGCCAGTTACTCAGATCTTGAGATAAAAATCCATAAAACAAAGTTTTTATGAGACAGATTGGACACAGAGCCTCAGTAATAATCCCTGCCTTCAGAAAACTCTAATCTGAACCTGAAGTTTCCTCGTCAGCGACGGGGTTTTGCCTCAGAAGCCTCTGATCTCGTTCTGATACCTGTGTGAAAAAAAACTATGAAGGTTTGTTGGCAAACTGTGGGAAATGTACAGATCACAGTAATGACATCATGTTTTGAATTGTACTAAAGTCAAATCAAAACCAAATGATTGGCGGATGCAATTTTCCCATTTTCCATTTGGAGCTTTAACCTACCGAAGTGTTGGACGCAGCGTAAAGCACTTAAGAGTAATTTATTGGGCGGATAACAAACGCTGATCCATCATCAATCATCATGCAACACAGACAAACATATTTATTATCATTTTATAACCATGTTGACGAACAGTATGACTGAATCCAAGAAAAAAAGTTCAACCCAGGTAAAACATAAAAATAGGAAAAAAACATTAAATTGCTACAGTTAGAAGAGTGACTAAATATTCATCCATTCATAAATACAGCTTTTGATTTTCTTTTTGTATCATCGAAATACTGTTGTATATAAGGAAAGTGGATTTAAGTGCAACTTATTATTTTTCATTGAACTAGTTGGATGTACAAAACACGTTCATTATATGTTTTGAACAAAATCTGTCAGTTCTGCCTATTTTATGGCCTCTTTAAATCTAATTAAGTTGCTCCAACTAAACATTCGCACACAACAATGGCTGCAATTATACAACCATACACCTTTGAAAAGCATTAGTGGAGCCTCCTGCAGCAACTGGTTTCTGAATGGTAAGTCAACCACAAAACTCTTGATATTTCCAGAAGCTTCTGCTTGAGTTGCTAGGTAACAGGCTTTGCTGGGGTTGCTAGGTAACAGGCTTTGCTGGGGTTGCTAGGTAACGGGCTTTGTTGGGGTTGCTAGGTAACGGGCTTTGCTGGGGTTGCTAGGTAACGGGGCAGTGCCGCTGACTTGTTGCACTCCGGAGGTTTTGGAAACGGCTCATTTTTCATACACCAGAAAATATCTTTGCCAGAAGTTGTCTGTGTGTTTGTTTTAAAGCAGTTGTGCTGTTTTCAGAAGCCAACGCGAGACCCAAATGAAAGGACAAAAAAAACATGCAAAATGTAAAGTCAATTAATGGCTATGAAACCTTTGACAAACTGAAACTATGTGCATCATTTAAAAAAAGTTATGGCAAAACTCCCCGTACTCTTGTTTCAGCCCTCCAGAGGACGACCTCTGGTCCGGCCCGGTACTGGTACTACAAGGCCTTCACACTAAACAGAAAACAAATACTGTAGCCATAAAGGACCTGGCAAAAGGAGAGCAGCAGCTGCGGCTGCGTCTGTGGCCCGAAGTCCTTGGAGAGTATTCTTTAATCCTGACACCTGCAAGCCATTTTATCATGATTTACAGTGGGGGCCGGGGAGGGACAAAAGGAACTGTTTTCACAACAATTGATGAAAAACACAGCGCTGCTCCGGCCAGGGAGTTGTAGTTTGTTGTGCAGAACGATAACATGTTGAACTTAATTTGAGAAGGAAAGCTTTGATAGAAAGTCCTGCTCTGATTTACAGGCAAGTGGTCTGAGAGAGCAGAAGAGGGGACGAATGAATGAATGTTTTTGTGTCTCTGCGTGAAACCAGCTGAAGATAAATTGGCCGGAGGTTTTGGGACAGGATAGGGAGTTCACTTAAATAATCATTAGCGGGATCTCTGAAGGCCAGTTTAAAGTTGCTCAGCTGCTCGGCCATCACGCCTTGATGCTGCGCTGTTGTTCTCATCCATTCACCGCCTCGTGCATCATTACGTTTGTGTGTGTGTATGTGTGTGTGTGTGTGAGTTCACCACATGCTGGATTACTTTGGGCTTGGACATACTGAATCTGTTTCTCTGTCATGTAGCAGCTGTAATTATCTGTGTCAAACAGGCCTCGTTTGTGGTGCAGCTGGATCTGAGATGGTGAGTTTGTTGTTTTTTAAGTGCATCTTACAGTTACAGTGCAAATTATAGGGATGACACTGGAGATCACAATTCAAAACAAAACAAAAAAGATGAATTCAAAATGAACTTGTGTCTTCAATTCTGAATGAATGCTAATTTTTTCTTTTCCTGAGTCAAGTTTCATTTAGACGCCGAAGCCAGGAATGAGCTGAATTTGCTGGTTCTGACGTGTTTTTCTTATCAGATTTCTCAAACCCCTCTGCTCCAAAAACGCACTTATTCAGCTCCAAAAACCACCACATTCAGTTGCGCTGAGAAATTAAATCGTTGTCTGCTGCAATTATCAAGACCTTGTGAGAAGTATAACCTTTCATTTCAGTGAGCAGAATGATCCAAACGTTGGAGTAAAAACGGTCAGCAACAGATTTTTTAAAACCTGAAGTGTCTGGAAACAGAGCATAAAGAAAAATCACTTTAAAACCTGGTTTACATTGTCCTTTCAATTTTTACAAGAGAAATCAAACTGCAGTGGCGTCTCTTTAAATTTAAATGTCCTGCCTATTCTGGGAAACGTTTGTTTTTTTTGCCATTTGAAAGCTGGACTCCACCTCTGTCTCTTCTGTGGCGAAAGCACATGGCTTAGAATTTATCCAGTACACAGCAAATAATAAAAGTGCTGTAGTGTAACTGAAAAATAAAGTTACACTACTTTACACTACAGCTGAAATTATAAAACTCCTGGTAAAAATGTGCAAAAACTCTTTAAAATGAATGATTCCTTTATTTTAGTTGTGAACATCACTGAATATGAGCCAAACCCCTTTTATTCTTAGTTTGAATACATTTTCAGTGAGTTTAACAAAAATGATCACTGCTACCCGAGTACTGCTAACATTTCCTATTGATTTAATGTATTTGAAGTGACGTGTAAGATTTAATTTGATGCTCCTCTAGTAATGACTTCACAAACAGGACAATTTTTCTCGTCTTTCTTCAAAATACAAAAAGCATCTTTCACGTACGAGAGGGAGGTCATTATTTTTTAAAATCTCGATTACCACGACTCATCTAAACCTGTGCATGTCGAGATTCAAAGCAACAGTAAAAAAGTCTAAAACTAGTTTAACTTTGAGAAAAAGTGTTAATGAAAAATTAGCTCCATTAGCAGTCAGTCTTGCAACAAATCCGAAGAGGCCTCTGACTGAAGACAGTTGCTGTCATGGCAACACCTCAACTTTTGGGCAGCAGAGTCCACAATTACATGTTCTGAATGATACCGCCAGTTGCTGGGAAACACTGCTAATCCACTCCATTTGTTTTTGCTACTCCTCTTTAAATCTCTGAACGGTTATAAGGTCGAGTGGAGAGACGTTAGAGTTTGGGATTTGATCCTTGACCACCATGATCGATGGAGGAGACCGTTTGAACTCCCGCCTTCTCTCTGGTCCACGAGGCCTCCATCTCTACTCCTCTGGGATTCGGGGTCAGAGTTCAGCTATTATTTGATCTTTTTAGATGCTGATCATCAGCTGCTCTCACTTGTAAAAACAATACCTTATTGCCACGGTTCTGCAACATAGCAACTGTCAAAAAATAAAAAATAAGAGCAAAAATCCTTCCAGCGTTCAAAACCAGAACCTTGAATAAATAAAATACGGACAAAAGTTTACAAAGAGAACAAACTACAACCGATCTTTTTGCAAAACCATTTTCCCAATTAAAATTTCGTTTTTCTTATTTTTTACAATATGTAACATTTCTTAAATATCCTTAAATTTTATTGAAGATTTTTTTTAAAATATAACTGGCATCCCAATTTAACCTAAAATGCTCCAGTAGAACTGTCCTATCATTCATCTTACTTTCCAGAGTTTTGTAATGTTTAGCTGGAAATTGTTGTTCACTGGTTGCAAATCTTCATTGAAAGCTCATTGAGAAACTTCACCAAGGTACAGAAAAAGACTCTAGGTGAGTTGCTCCAAATGATAAATCTATACTTTATTTAAACGATACAATACTCCAAAAGTCGATCTGATGTATGCAATAATTTTGACACTTTCTATATTGGCTGGAAAAATATATTCACAGTTCAGAGATGGGAGGAGAGCTGAGTTGCCATTTAGTTGCATAATGAAACTTTTCTCTTTAAGCAAAGTGGTGCAGTAAGTTATGTTGGGAGGAAAATGACACCAATATTATCCAGATCTGGACTTTTCAGCCCATCATAATGTGTCATATGTGTCAGCGTTATATCTATGCGTGTTGCTCAAGCTGTAAACTTTTCTGTTTCCCTCTCTGACCTTTTGCACCAAATGATTCAAACACAGACATATTTTTTGACCTTTATGTATACAGGTTGCCTTATTGAGGTCCAAGATCGTATTTGCATGAGAGACTTGAAAATTCCTTGTCGCAAATCAACATTTTTTTCTCTGGCGTGAACACATTTAGCAGCACACTCACAACATTGATTGACAGCACAAAGACCCTCCCCTTGTCTCTGATTGGTTGTTTGGTCAGGAGCGCTGTGTTCCTTCAGACAGCAACACATGGAAGGATGTCTCATGTTATCCTGCCATGACATGGTGAGCTTTACCAAATATGTAAAAACACTTGTTTTTTGTAAGCGTTACACACTGCAGCTCTAAAGAGGATTCATATCTACATTAATTTCAGTATTTTGTAGAAGTTAGTTTTTACTTTTTCTTCTCAAAGGTAAATTTTATTTAACGTGACTGATTTGTCAAAGCAACAAGAAGTGTGCTGTGTGCTTTTCATTGCATAACAGAGTCTTCGCCCCACATATGAAGGTTGCGTCAAATGCGTTGATGATTGCAGTATTCCTCTGACTGCTGATGGTTTGTGTTGTTGTGTGGGCAGCCGTCCCAACAGGCCGAGCGTACCTCAGCTGCGGTAATGAGAGAACAGCTTTTCATCACAACGCTGCAGCTCAGATGCAGAGCCAAACAATCAACATGCCCTGCAGATCATTTATTTCCTCCACTTTCCATTATTTCATGAAGTGTTGCGTAAATCACAGAGGCGGACCGGCTGAGCCACCCAACGCACTTCCCCTAACGCAAAACATGCTGAGGACATCGGATACCCACCATGTGACCTCCAGATCTTTATCTCTCAGATTCCACATGAGCAGGTTATTTAATATCCATCAACTGAGTCCTAAATCAGGCCGAGGCATCTATAAAGAGCAAAACATACGTTGGATCCCAGCGAAAACTTCTGCTTTTTGAGGCAATCAATGATCATAAATCTGTTGTAACATATTCTATTTATTCTTGGATGGAAGTTTTATGGCTTCACTGTAAACTTTTAGATGATTCATGGTTATTCTGAGGCTCTGGATCCCAGTAAAGTCAGGATTAATAACAAATGCTTAAGCAACTGGTTGCTGTTTTTGGCATTTAGCAACAAGTCATTTGAAATTTTTATTGCCACATAACTTTTCTGTTTCTCTTGTTTTGTTTAAAAGCAAAATTGGGGGATTTATCTCGGCAGTACGTGATTGTCTTCATCATCTCGTTTATTCAAAGATCTGCTAAAGCGAAAGAGAGGAACGATAATGGTTGAATCTGTTCAAAATGCATAAGGAAAGTGTACTCCATAGCATTTATTGTGCAATGAGAACATAGAGGCGTAATAAAACACCTTACAGCGTCAGAAAACACACTCTCGGCTTCCATTCAAACACTTTTTTGTCTGCCTTTTCTCTCCTCTGAGCTCCATTCCCAGGGATGACACTGTCATATTTTGAAACATCTCTTTCTTTCTCTCTCGGCTGGCATCGGTACGCTTTCCTCCGTTTCCCTGTTTCTGTTTTGTTTAGGACCACACAGAGGGATGACATGTTGGAGGCAGATCCAGGCTGGGTGGCCCGGCTGCAGGAAAGATGTGGGTGACAGGATCAGCCTTCAGCAGACTATGGCAGTAATGCGTGCAGACAGTGTAAAACCAGTCCTTTGGAGACCTGGAGAAAGAGCAATGCTTGCAATTCTGAATAAATGCAGTTTGAAAACAGAAGGAGAGGGTTCTTGTTTGGGACTCTGGACTCTCATGCACTACTAATGTCTTTGAACATGCTTGGCAATGGAAGCAACTCTGAAGTATCAGATGTGAATTTCCCACCTGCTGTGGACGGAATGTCGCTTATGGAAAAGAATTGGAAATTAAAATTTGACTTCAGTAAAAATATTATACAAAAAATGCATTTGGTGAAGTACTCAGCCACCAGAACTGGATTTTGCAACATTTCTGTGTTTCAGGCAGATTACAAAGCATGAATCCAGTGAGAAAAGGGTCATTCGTTCAGTCACTAGAGACTTGACTTGTTTCAAAATGTCATTTGAGTATCTCTGCAAGCATTTACTAAAAGCAAAGCATGTAAAGTGTTTCCAGTTGATAGAGAAGTAAAGCTGTGTAAAAATACATTTATACTGTTTACCCCATTTTGCTTTTATATCAGACAAAAATCTGATCAGAAATGGTTAGATTCTAGCGCAATCACCTCCTTCTCTGTAAATAACCATCCAATGCAAAAGTGATAAAAGGTTTTTAACGGTTCACATAAGAGCATAAGCAAAAATTACCAGACGTTTTTCAGGTCAGATGTTTCTAAGTTAACAGAAGTTGACGTTGAAATTGTCTCCTCTCTGATTAGCCGTTAGCTTCAGCGATCTAATCTGGATTTATTTAAAAGGAAGAGAATTACCTGCTTCTGGCAAATTATCAACAGGTTTTATCCTGTTTACAACTCAGTTTTTGAATTATCCCTTTAATATCAAAGCGTTGAATAAAATAATTTCTTTAATTAATTTTAAAGTCCATATCGATGTCACACAGATCTGCTCTGTTTTGGGACTTGCTGTTTAGCTCGTTAAAAGCAATGAGCTGCTACTAATCTGTTACAGCCCTTGAAACGGTTCAAGCTGAAGTTTCCTCTTTTTAAACACCCTGGCTTTGCAGAAACCAGAGATGGCTCTTTTCCTGATAATCAGCTTGTTGCATTTAGCAAGTACTTAACAAAACAAATGGGCCGACTGTGTGTTTTTGTGAGCGTGTGTGTGTCAGGGAGGAATAGGGAACTCCACTGATGCTGGATTTTGTCAAGCCTGAAGAGCGGGGAAAGTAGAGCAGAAGTGTCATCACAAACAGGCCCCTGGATCCCGGCGGCCCCCACATTCTTCCTCTGGATGAAGAATGGTGCGACTCACAGTTGTTTATTTTGTTTTCTATCTTGTCTTAGCAACCTCGTCTTAATGAGAGGGAGTAATTCCACATTGAGGTCTGCTCTCTATTCGCTTCCTGCTAACTTCTTCAGAGACAACTCTTTATTTTGTTGTATCGCCACAGATGCATAAATACGGCAAGCTGGGAATCTTGCACAATGAACTGATGCAGAAACTTGTTAAATTAGTTGAGTTTGTTCGTCGGTCTAAAGGTCTGCTCATTGCGATTGAAAGGCAGTTTTGATGATGTTCTTGACTACAGAGATAGTGAGCTATGAATATACCCAGGGTAAACAAATCAATACGTTTATCTGACGCAGAGTGCTGGGAAAATAGTTTTTAATCTGTTTGATTTTTTTCATACTTAAATGTTTCAGATTATCAAACAATGTCGAGTTAATGCAACATGTGGAGCCTGTTTGACAGCATGAAGCGAGATAAGCCAGGTATCTGAAACAGCAACACATTATACCTCAGTGCATTATAAGGTTCAGCATTGTTAATTTATTATTTTAATGATTGCCCTTTTTTTAAGAGTTAACAGTTGGCTTTTAAGTATTAATCTTCTAGTCTTCCAAAAATGCAGATCAATTGATATTTTCAAATTTCCAATCAACTTTAAACATTTTTTAACTCAAAAACACGGCGGGTAGCTGCATGACTGCTGTAGCACTCTGAGCACCGGGCTCAGCAAGTTTTCTGGGGGAAACTCTGTACCTATTATGTAACATTTTTGTTCTTCCAGTTTGACCTGTGCTGCTTCTAAAAGCACCACTCAACAATTTTTTGGTGTCTTGAAAATGACACCAAAAAAATCCCTCATGGGATTTCAAAAACCTCCTGATTGTTAAGTTATGTTCCCTGGCCGCTGCAGCGTCACCTAGCGACCCAGCCAAGCCCAGACCTGTTACCTACCATACCTCGTGGAAGTCCAGGACATTTGCTCAGCTAGTTTTTAATGCTGTTTGCACTGTATAATGTCTCCTGGAAAAGACAAGTGCTTTGCTGCTGAATTACCATTCGGAAACCACTTGCTGCTGGAGGCTCTACTAATGCTTTTCAAAGATGTACGGTGTATAATTGCGCATCTGTTTGCAGCCATTTTTATGTGCGAATGTAAACATTGAGTTGGGGGTGTGGCCAACAGCAGCTTGAGAAAACAGGCAGAACTGATTATCTAAGAATGATTTTGAACAAAAAAAATGTAATGAACATGTTTTGTTTAGCCCATAGACCTACCCTGTTTAAGGACCCATAGAAAATGCATAATTCATTTTCTTAAGGGGTTTTAGTTGTTTGTTCAAGAGACAGGATACTGAAATCAACAGTTAATTTGGAGTTAGTTGGTAGTTACTTCAAAAAGAAAAGAATTTGCTTATCCTACTCTCAAACATGTAATGTTGACATTGTTGCTTTCTTTTCCATTCTTTCTTTACTTGTTTGTTTGAATAAATTCTTACTAAATACAACTGAATTTCCTTTGAGTAAAGAGCCAGGTTGATTTAATTGCTTTTTTCTCCCTTAATAGACAGAATTATCATTTAAAAACTGTTTTTGTTTACTTGAGTTATGCTTGTCACTTAAATGCGACTGTCTGACACATTTAAGCGGCAAAAAAAAAGCATAAATTGAAGCAAAGACTTTAAAGTCACAGTGAATTTTGAGCATTAAAGAGTATAAAAATATTCCACCAGAAAGACCTGCAAACCAAAGAGTAAGTAGATTTAATAAATCTGCATAATTAATGGTGGCTAACAGATTGAATGCTTGAAACAGCACCGAGGGAGACGTTTCAGATAATGCTCTGAGCAGGAACCAGAGAGGTGTGACAAACTACAGCCTGTTACACATTATGGTGTTTGTGGTTTTGTGTGTCAAAATGGAATAAAGCATGTTAACTTGCTCCATAGAGAGGGGAGGAGATGTAAAGAAACTTTCAAACAAACCTGCTGTCAGAGGACAGATAAAGACACAATCAGCAGTTTGTGTGCGCGTTCCCAAGCACCAGCGGGCCGTCAGGTGGTCCTCGGTCCTCTCCGGTCACCAGCCCACCAACCTCCACGGCGCTATTGTGCAGAAAAGACGCTGCATGACTGATGCAACAAAGGAGGAGACATTGATCTTCTGAGACAAGCTCTACTCTCTGCATACTGCGCTAAAGGAAATGAGCTGATCCTCCTCAGTGGTCTGCAGCTAAGCCTTGCTTTTGAACATCGTAGCTCTTAATCTACAGCATCGGACGACCAACGACTCAGGATTTTGTGTTGCAGGCCTTGTTGGGTCTGGGAAGAAAAAAACAACTCCCAGAATCTTTAAACTGAAATTAATTCAGGAAACAGGAATATAAATCTCAGAGGGTAGATCATATGTTTTGGTAAAATAATTTACTTGCCACACACATATCATGTTTCCCAGAGCATGCAGCACTGGCAGGTGCTGCATTTCTAGTGTACCCTTGAGCAGGGCACTTCAAATCACTTATCACGGCTTAATTCAATTGCTCCAATAAAACTATCCAGCTGCATAAACACATTACAGGACGTGTGAAATCGGAAACGCAGAGCATCTTTAACACTCTCTGGATAGCGCTGTCCACTACAGGGGACAATAAATCATTTTACACAGTAACTTAATGATTTAAGAGCTCAGTATTTGTCACACTGTCATGTGGCACCAAGCCGGGATGAGGTGTCAGGCTCCCATGAGTCCATTAAAGTCCACTTTCCCAAATGGCAGAATGTGAGATCCCATTTGGGGCGGCTGGTAGAAGCCGTGACAGCATGAATCTGTGGAGAAGGCTTTGGGTTTTACACCTGTGTGTGACGCAGGGGAGGTTCGGCAGCGAGTGGGAGAATCAGCCAGCTGTGCTCTCTTGTGGTAACTCTGGGGATAGCCTGGAAAATGGCAGGAAGGATTTAACCAGCTATTTATAGATCTTTTTACTGCAGTTAGCTGCTGACGGTCTTATAGAAAGAGACTCAAATGAAAGACATGAAAATATTTTGGAGTGCAATAAAAAATTCCTCCAAACTTCCTAAATCGTTTTGTTCCTCAATGCTCTGTAAAAGTATAAATATGGTTTTTATTCCCTGTTTGTTCATGTGTGAACGAGTCAACTAAATATGCACTGCAGATTTCTCAGATAAAATAATGAAAAATAATTATATCCTGATTCAACAGGAAATTCAGCAAAAATATTCTGCACAATTTTTCTGAATAGCAAAGTTGAAATATTTGTGATTTTGAGCTGCAGATGATCCAATTCAGCCCAAAGTTAAAAAAAACCCCCACTGAAATAGCCCTTTACTATTGCAGCTAATGCTAAGACGTGAAGCAGTTCCAGGGATAATTTTTCCAGGGATTACATCTTGCATATTGAATAAGAAGTATGCTAATTAAGTTTCACGACTTTGCAGCCGCAGAAATGTGGTGAATTATGTTTTCAGATGGTAGGACGTAATCAAAACCAGGGCTCCTTTCGTTTTCACTCTTAAAAATATCCATTCTAGCTACAGATTTCCACACAGTTTACAGTGGCGGTGGTTTTAAAACCAAAACCTCTATAAAACAGTCAGAGAAGTATTGATCTGATTGCACACTTTTCTTTGCCAAAAATGGAAGAAGAAAAAAAAAACAATATCAGCAGAAGGAGATCCTCTCTTGTCGAAAATCCAGTTTTTAATCAAAATCTCTGATTTGCTTCAGTTTTCTGGGTGTAAAAGTTATGTAACGTTTTAGTGAATCAGGACCGTAAGTTTCTATTTTTAAACATTGAATCAACGTGCCTTCCTTTCTCTGCTTTTTAATTGTTTTTCCAAACAGACGTTTCTTTATGTTGGGTCTGTTTGGTGTATTTTTTGAGGCACTGGTGTAATGGAAACTTGAAAAAGAGGACAGAGTGTGACCTGAGGGTGTCCAAACATTTCGTCACGTATTCAAAATTATCGAGTCAAAGTGCTTGCAGGCCAAGAAAATAAAATAATCTGGCAAATGAAGTAGTTAGATTTTCTTTTGAAGAAATCTGATGTTATTCATCATAGAACCAAAACTTAAAAATCATTTAACACATTTGCCAAATGAACAGAAAGAAATCTAGTTTTCAATTTCTTTTGGGTTCGACTGAACAATTTAATTCTCAGGAATAAGAACAGGATTTAAGTCACTTTTTATTCTAATCGCTTGTTATATTACGTAAAACTGACTTTTTTGAGTTTTACATCATGTGATGTTATTTCCTCATCAGAAACATATCTGGAGAGTTATTTTTATTCTTTCATGCATAATTAGCTCATCTTTTAGTCTCTCACAGCAACCATTCAGTTGTACAAGATGCCTGGATGGACTTAGCTCCGCCTTCAAGGCGCAGCTCCTCCTCTGAGCTGCAGGTTCCGAGCTTCAGCCTCGCATAGCAGCCCTCCCCGAATCATATCCTCCAGACTAGCCAGCAGCAATTAGCAAACACCTGGTGGAGCTGCACATCTGCTGAGCTGCTTCTCGGTGGAACGCTGGTAAAATGGTTGTTAAAGGGTTAATAGAAGAGCGATGCTGCAATGATTTCCTGAAGGCGGATTTTCAGAAAGAGTTGGAGTTTATTAAAGTGACAAAGGCCCGATTTTAAGATGTTAAATAAGGAAGTAAAATTTCTTTTAGGTCATATTAGTTATAATTTTCATCTGTGAAGTTAACATAATTTCTGGATTGTGCTACAAAATGCGTTGGAAAACGTTTTGAGTGTGGAAACTTTACCTCTTGAAAAAGAGGTGAAGTTTGCATTTTCAGGTTTTTCATGTGTAAGATTGGGGAGAGGCTAGTTTTTTAAGTAGATGTGGGTTCCTTCTTGTATTAGTGCTAGCAGGTATAAATGCTCTCTGCAGGGCCGTCTCTGATGGGAGGTCAGCGGCCTCTCGGTGCGGGCCTGCACATCGTCCTCTCCATCACTCAGGGCAGGCCAACATGTACAGTGTGCATGTCTCCCAGGACGACTTCAGCATTTGGTTCATCAGGACTGATTACTGGAGACATTCCTCTCGCATGCAGCCATAAATTCACCTGATGTGAAGCAGACCTGCATCCTCCACTTCCACTGAGGCGTGGAGAATTAGGGGAGAAGCTTTGCCGTCAAATTCAGCAACACACTTTGCTGAAACGGCTGAATAAAACTTTGGAATCAGCAATCAGTGATAACCACCCTGAAATTACATCATAAATGCAACAAAAAACCTGTAAACGCCTTCTGAGTCCAAAGCTACTCAGAACGCGTTTGGATGATTTTCTTTTCACACAAAATGTAAAGTTGCTGGAGTTTTAATTAAAGAGAATTTATTTCATCTCAAGGGGGGAAAAAAATCTTTATTTATGACCCCATCATTGACACAAGAATAGGTTCAAGCTTCTCTCCATCTGTTTGCAATTCCAGTGTAATGCTATCATCACCTGTTTCCACGGTCCCAGTCACATCTGGCTTACATTACAACAGAAAAAAAAAATTACATAAGGTGCATTTTTCTCTCTCTCTCTCTTCTTTTCTTAACTTTAGTATTTGGGTCAAATTTCAGAAATAGACAAATTAAGCCCCAAGTCATGAGACGTGAAAAACAAAACAGCAATTGGCTTTTAAATTTGAGAAATCCCTGTAGCTTCAATAGTTTTAAACAAAAGAATTTCAAGGCTTTGTAAGGTTTGCTGGAGAATAAAACCAGTTTAAACCAATAACCGAAAGTCCAGCTCTCAAATCTGGCAAAGAAATCTTCCAGTTTTGTTAGAAACACAAGGTCACAATGAAATGAAGTTTTATACATTCGAACGTCTTTTGAAGGCAAGGCACCACTGATAACAGTGACTCAGCCAATGTATTTAGGTTCGGTGATGGCAGAGTAATCTGCATTGTGGATCGGTAAAAGTGATCCAATTTAAATCTAACTCAGTACACGGTACCTTTTAAAAACGTTAGTGGTTTTAGTCACTCGATTTGTAATTCTCAATTTAAAAAAAACTTTTGTTTTGTAGATGAGAAAGCTTTTATGATTACATTAACAATTATTTCTTTAATTTCACTTACTTGTTCTCACACTAAGTTAACTGGTACAACACAAGTTGTGTGGATTTTATTTCAGGTTCTTGTGATTTAAAGTTTAGTCAAAATGTTTTTGCCGCCTTACAGATTTCTTCTGTTTTCCTGCTTTTCTATGAAGTTTCTACCGACAATTGACTTGAAGTATATTGTTTGTTTATGAAACCAACTAAAAACTAAACAATATTCAACTAATAAAAACTAGCAAACACTTTAAGCACTAATTAAAGCTAACTGAATTAGACAAACAAAAAGTGACAACAAAATAAACCCAAAAAACTATTATAACTCTGGCTCACACACACTTCCTCCTAGTTATGGAGGTAGTGTGATGATCTGGGTCGGCTTTGCTGCTTTAGCAAACGGGCGACTTGCTTTAATAGACGCTCTGCCAGAAAACCCTGAAGAAGAACTTAACGCCATCAGCTCTGTGAGCTTAAACACAATCTGCAGGATAATAACTAGCCCAACGTCTGAATGGCTCATAATTAAGCTTTCAAAGTGGCTTAAGCAGGCTTTTCCTGCCCACCCCTATGCTAATAGGAGTGTGCTTTTTTCTGCTGCTTTGGGTCGTTTTTTTTCCTGAATAAACTGAATCATTAGTTGAAAGCCGTATTTTGCTTCTGCGTATCTGAACGCAAAATTACATTTTAGTTCACAATCTAAAATGCAAGTGTGACATAAAAGCAAAAAACCTTTCTGCAGCACTGTGAGTTTTATGACCCGAAACAATTGCGGAGTATTTGTTAAGTCCTGAGCCGCAACGTTATACAGACTTTTGATGGATGTTGTGCAGGTTTCATGTCTGTGGTTTAGAAGGAAATAACATTTGTGGTTACAGCTCAAAGCATAGTATACTATTAGAAAACTCTTGCCCCAGGAATTATATTTCCCCGCCTCATAACAGTCTGGAATTTGTGTATCCGCTCCGTCTCTCCCATGGACACCAGCTGTGCAGCTGGTGTCCATGCGCTCTGGAAACTGCAGTTAGCCTGTAGCCATGTGGGATTTTTAACTCGGCTCTCCCATGTGCGTTTAAGGAAGCAGTAATGTCATGCAATCGGGGCCTGTGTTATCATTGTGCAGATCCTGAAGAGTGATGTCAGAGGAAAAGGGAAACTAGCAAACTCCCAAACCAAGGGAGGAAAGGTTTGAAGCTGGCTGGCAGAGACCCAGATCAGCTTAAAGATTTTCCTTATTCTTTCTTTCCAATTTGCTGACCTCAGAAGTATATGCACTTCATCCAAACGGCTCGACTGGACAGGACGTTGCTTCCCTTGGCATATGTGGCTGCGAGCAGTGATGCCTCAAATAAATGAAAGGCGTTTGCATTGATAAAACTCGCTTTTGTAAATGGGATCAACGTAAAAAAAAAAAAAAAAAAAAGGCTCAGCAGAAAAAACGAGCACATCCCCTACATCAATGTGAGCTTTTAATCCTCGGTAAAGAATAATCAACACCGCCTAATCAATTAAAGAGAGATCATTAAGTGTCCTTCAATAGATCCTGTTTTATGGCTCCAGTGGAGTGAGGGATCAAAGCTGACTCTTTAATGCACATGAAAGAATTTGCCACAGTGAAATTAGTTAAATGTCACTGCAGAAAACTCTGGTAATTTATCACAGAAAGCCTGCGACAAAGACTTTTAGCCTCTCACATTGTTAAGATAGTGATTCATCCATAATCTTGAATGAAACAGACACACCTGCATAGCAGAGCTTTCATAACACCGACTGTATTAGTTGTGTTACACGCAGTGGAAAAAAGTATTCATATCCTTTGAACTTTGTCAGATTTTACACCAGTAAAAATGTGTAATTAGGAAGTGGAAGGAAATTAAATTAATGAAACCTAAATTAATGAAACTCTTTAGTTTACATTACATTAAAATAACACTATTACACTTCATCCTGAACACATTATTCCAGTGGTGAAGGCAAATCATGTGCGGATGTTTATCTTCAACATCCGTTAACGGGAAGACAGATGGAGACTTCAGACTGGTCACAGATTCACCTTTACGCACAATGACCATAAACATATAGCGAGAGTTAACGGAATGGTTAATAAACATATTCATGAGCTACAATGGTCCAGTCAAAGCCCAGATCCGACCTGAGCTTTTGCAAACCCTTTCCACCAAAAGGCAAGTTCACATAATATTGAGTTAGTTGGGCTAAATACAAATATGCAGAACACTTTTCACACTTATATTTGAAAAAAAAAAACGCCTTTGCCACGTGTGACGTCACAAGACCACGAACTTTGTTGCCGTGACAAGCAGTTACTAGCTCTCCCCTCTTTCGGTGACATTTACTGTAGCACTTACTGCCCAACTAGCAAAGCTAGCTTAGCTAATGTGGTTTTTATCTACAAACCGAGTCACGGACATGAAGCCTACGTGTGTGTTACTGCGTGTACTCACTCGGCCAGTCACCGGAACAGTTCTATTCACCTGAAGGGTTCGAGTTCCTACAGTTAGGGTTACAAAGGAAGCTAACTGTACGCGTCCGGTGGTCCACTATGATGTAGATCTGAGGCCACGTCGTCAAACGTATCTTCCCTCTTCGTCTCATTCGGGCCTGTCGGTCTCCACAGCAGCGGTTTGTTCACGTAGCTTTTGCTCGTACGTTCTTTTTTTTTTTTTTTCCCATGGGTCCGCGCTGCACTGCGCATGCGCTTGCCTGCCACTATTGCGCGGATTGCTTCCGGTTCTGACTGGTGGGACTTCAGGTTGCAATGAAAAGCAGTGAAACGGTTTGAGGCCTGCGTGCTTTTGCAGCGCACTTTTTATTCCCCGTTGTAAAATAATGAAAAAGTCAAGCAATCATTTGACGACAGAAGCAAACTCTTGGATAAATTTATGAAATAAAAAGATCCTTCTTCACTCTCTGAGCGAGCCACAAACACTAAAACCAGTTTGTTTGATGAACTTTTGTAACTATGGGAAATAAAAACGGGACTGAATGTGTGTCCTTGGAGGTAATTTATGACAGTTAGAGGGTTTTCCTCTGTAGTCGAGGAGAAGCAGCTGTGTTGCATTGGCTGCGTGTTTTTGCTCTTACAACCAGGACTGGACTGTTGACAGAACCAGGTGTAGGCCGGCTGTGTTTCTACAACACAAGGTCCTTTTTTTTTTTTTTTTACAGGCAACTCTGCTGTCGAAACGCAATATCAGCTGGAGAAAGCAGTCATACTTCCTTTCACTGGTGACTTATGTTACTCTCTTTTAGTGCTTCTGTAATTAATGTTATGATAAAGTGCAGGAATTGCAGATCTTTTCCGTGGCTCTGCAGAGCCCCGTAACATGATTTAGTGTAAAGCTGTGATTATTCTCAGCTTGTGCTTGGTTTGATTTTAGTTGATGACCCAATGATGAAAATGAAGACTTACAAAACAAGAAGAGGACAATGACCCGATCGTAGCTTTGAACAATCCAAACCAGGCAGCTTAAATACTAAAGCAGAGGTGGAAAATGACAAACAATCAGGTGTGGGGCAGAAGAAGAACAGGAAAACTGAGGGAGGGAGACTAATTAACAGAAGGAAATTAACTCAAAAGACTCAAAAGGATCTACAAACTAAAAGGGGAGAACCCAGAAATAAAATAAATGCAGAGAAGAAACTGAACAGGAAAGAATCAACTCATGTAGCAGCACTGTAATGGTAATAATAAGCAGAAAGGAATGAGCTGAACCTAACTGGCAGTGACTCAGCAGGTTAGGAGTTCGTCCTGTAACTAGAGTTGCCAGTTCAAACACCCGGTCTGCCCGTTGTGTCCTTGGGCAAAACAGTTCACCTGCTGGTGTTGGTCAGAGGTGCCGATTATATGGCAGCCTTGCTTCTGTCAGGGCAGCTGTGGCTATTATGTAGCTTACCAGCATCAGTGTGTGAATGGGTGAGTAAGTGAGTGTGCACAGCGCTTTGGAGTCCTCTGGACTAGACAAAGCGCTGTGCAAGTACAGGCCATTTCCCATTTACAAAAGGAAACCAAAACACAAACACTCGTGGATCATGGCAGCTTGTTCTTGTGCTGCTCTGTCTCCTCAGGCAAAAGGGAAGTAAGATACATCTTTCAAAGGATCATTTTCCCCACTGGAGATCTAAAAACCAGACATAAACAAAATCACTCTAGACAAACTATCTTTCTTTAAAGACAGCATCACTTAAATTTCCAAATAGTTTTTGTCTGTAATTTACTAAAGTCTCTCACAGAGCATTGTGGTACAAGTGGAAAAAAATCCTGTACGTTGCAACATTCAAAAAGAGTGGAGAGACTTCATTGTTTGTTTACTTTAATATATTTAAATAGCTGAAAATGAAAGACTTATTTCTGTTCAGCTCACAATTTATATATATATATATAAAAGATATAAATATATCTTTCTGCGTATTTTTTTCCAACAACAAAGCTCACAGGACAAATGTTGTTAAATGTACGCTGAAATTTTTGTTGTTGTTTTTAATGAAGAACTATTTGTTTAGAACAGCAAATTATCCCAGAAACACAGCAGGACTTTCACTGAAACACTCCCAGTTTAATAAATATGAGACACTGCTTTAACAGACAGATCTGTTTTGACTTTCAGTTTTACGTTTGTGAGTGTGTGGATAAATAATAATATTTGTTTAGTTAAGATCACATTAACTGTGATTTCTATGGGGGCGTTTGGTAAAAAAAATGCAACATATGATTTAATTTCAAGCAAACACTCTTAGTTTTAAAGATAAAATGTCAAGCTTTTGCTAAGGCGATGTTATTTTACCTTATATTGCTAAAATCTGTATGTGTTTGCATGATAAACCATGTTCTAGTTTGTTTAGTTGCATGTGTTGAAAAAACTATTTGAAACATATAACTCACTGCACTAATAGAAAGATGGGAAATATGTAAATATTTTTTATATTTAATTTTTTAAAATGGTGATGGAAATATCTGAAGGCTGTCTCTCATTTTGACAGATTGCAGTTCCAACGCCTGACCACTTTTTAACTTTACATAAAAGATTACCATCTGAGTATCATTTCTGACCTGCACACTGATCTCAATTTATCTTGCTATCCATGAGCTGACAGCACGTCGAAGCGTTATGGAGGTTTTGAAGCCCGTCTGGTGCTGCAGGATTTCCTCCAGCTGAAGCGAGGCCCTGTGAGATCAGGAAATCCTCTCCTTCAGAGAGTCTTGCCATCTTCCGATCACTTCAATCATGGAAAGGTTCCCTGCTTTCAAAACTTTGACTGAAGTGATGCTTGTAATTCCGGGCAGCGTGGCAGCAGAGCACAGATTCAACCTCCAGAACGGCATCACAACCTCAATGGTTGAGGTTCAATGGTTGAGGTTGTTCACACCACGCATGTTCACACCACACACATCAAAAATGCATCCAATGCTTCGATGCCTGTGGACTTTGAAAACAGACACTTGGCATTTTGCTCTCATTTTGTGCGTTTGGTTTACATTCAAAGACTAAGTAGAGGCGTATCAGACACGCCGACTCTCGCCGTTGTTTTCCGTTGGACGCTCTTGATGTGTCAAATGCTCAAAATGCTCCATACAGTTCAAATCTCCAGACATTTGAAACATGCCCTGACGGCCTTCGGCGCACATCAACGTAGACTTTGAATGTAAACCAGACACGCCTGATGCCCAAAACGCGTTTGGTGTGAACAAACCGTCAGATATTTGATTATGTGTAAGCGGGTGTCCAATTCATGTAGATATGGATCAGGAAGAAGTTGTATGATTAGGCTTTCAGGAGTATCACTCATAATTTAAGTGTAGTTATTTATATTAACTGGTTATATGTAGAGTTGAGACACAATAAGCAGCTTTTGTAACTGTGAAAAAAATTGCATGTATTCATCTGTTTGATAAGTGATGGAACAACTTGAATTTTCTGTCCTGTTAATTAATCAAAATGAAAATTTATGAAGCCAACATGTCATTGTTATAATTTCAGAAATGTTGGGTAAAAATATGACTTGTTTTTAGGTTGTTGTTTTTTTTACCACTTTCTTCAAAATGACAACAAAAAACCTAGCAGAAGAAAAAAATGAGATAATTTATCGCAATCATAACGTATTAACTTTATGTTTGAAAATTAGACTGGCTTGAGGTTTTGCTACATCAACGTCCTTTCAAATTGTCTAAGAAGGCTTAACGTATGAAATATATTTACCTCAATAACAAAACATTTTTCAAAATCAATCCAACCTCCACAGCTGAAAAGAAACTTCCATCGATCCGGCAGGTGTCCTTTCTTCGCACATTTAAATACCATCGAGCCTGACTACAGACATATCACGCTGATATTTTATGATGACAGTCATAGCTGCAGTGTCCCTGCCTCATTTAGGGCCTGACAGCACAAATTAATAAATTCAATAGTTCCAGATTAAATTTGGCACACCATGGATAACCCATAGATCACCGAGCAATTCTTTTCTTTAAAAAGTTATTTCTCACAGGTTGAATCAGAGAAATCTGTGCAGCAAAATGTAACCTCTGAAGCTAATGAGCAGGCTGAGGGATTAGCATACGAATGGCTCCCATAGCTCATCCTTCTGAGCATAGGGTAATGGCAGGTGAATGATACTTATCAAGCTTCATAAGTGCTCCTTCCAATAAATACATAGTCCAGGTCATTTGTACTGGGATTCAAGAGTTGATGGATATAGGATTACCACTTAACCTTGGAGTAATTCCAAGACTTTGCTTAAATCATCTAAAACATTCTCTGTCCCATAACGGCTTGACCGGTCTTTAAGGATATCACTTCATAAGGCAAAATATGTTTTATGAGATAGATTTAACAAAAGGTGTTAGTGACTTATGAATCATATTGGTGCAGTCACAACACCAACAAGCTTGTATTATTAAGAGATTGTTCCAGAATCATGCTTTGATAGATTCCCTGCCGGAATGGTTTTATTTTTATTCTTCCCTCATATTATTGCTTTGTTGACATGAAGGCATTCCACAATGAATGTCTTGCATCACTGCAGTGAGCATATTTACTCCTGAGAAGTCTCTGAAACAGGCCTGATCTTCATCAGGCTTAAACCTGACTTCTCTAAAAGATCATGTGCTCCTCGCTGAGGCCTGGCTCTCGTTCTGAATCAAACACTTGACCCTGACTCTGTCTGCCACCATTAAATCTGAAGATATTCACTCCTCACATTTCTCAGGAGAGAGAAAGTTAGTGGGCTTCATGTAAATGATTGCAGCACATTCTTACTTTAACTTCCCACTGAAATTAGACTCCCTGTTTCTATCTTAACAATGTTTTATGCTGGCTGACATTTCTCTCAAACTGCAGGTGAAGGTAAAGCAAACGGCTCCTCATAAGTAGTTTCAGAAAATCTGAAAGTTCTGCTTTAAAGGAAAGACCACTCCTAATTACAGGATAAACTATGATCATTTCAGCCACCCATCCTGTTTCTATGCTTTATTATAGCATACTCTGCCATGCTATGCTACACTATCCTATGCTAAGCTATACTATACCATACTATGCTATTGTATGCTATGGTGTATGTAATATATAACACAGCATTATATTGTTCTGTATTACAGCATGGTATACTATACTATATCATACTATACCATACTGTACAATACTATACTATGCCAC